ATCTGTTGTTTTCTATTAAGCCAAATACTGACAAGACAAGCAGGAACACAAGTCCTCAGTGTTTTTCAGTCATACTGGTTGTATTTTTAGAGTTGATAAGAGCAATCTAGTCATCAACGATTGGACAAAGCAACTATAGAACATTTTCACCATTGTGGAAGTACTGTTAAGGACAGGTGCTGTTCCCCCACCTCACCCCGCCCCAGTTGTTCAGACAGCAGGCAGGCTCAAACCTTGAGGACAGATGCGCTGCTGATAGGCCCCAAAGAAACAAAGAACCCTATCTGAGCAAAATTCCCCAGATGAAGGAAACTAGGCCACATAACTGGGAACACACGGCAATTGTCTCATCAGTTCCCCTCTGCAGAAACAGGGAGGGACTTGCAGATTTGACTGTGACCGTTCAGAGATTTTTGGTTGGCTCAGGGTTCTTCTATTCTCCCACCAGGCTTGACAACTCTTCCCTGATTGGTTTCACCTCTTCAGCTCATTTGCATACCCACATTCAGCCAAATAGGGTCCAATTGGTACCCTATAAATTCAGGCTAAAGTCCACAGAAGGCAGGAGAACTGCCTTAGGAGCCAATGGAGAAAGAAGATTCCACAGCCCAGTTCCAGCTGAGCCTGGCCTCAGACGCGCCTGATCTTTTCAGGGGAAGAGCTCTGGATGAAGACTTGAGTATCCAGACCCGAAAGGCCACCTTAAGTCTCACTGGAGATGCTGACTTAGCATCCCCAGACAGGGAGTGCTTTCCAGTCAGTCCTGGGACTCAACCAATGGCTATGGGAAGTGGGGGTGGGGAGCACGCTCATCCATCCTCAGCCTCCGAGATGCTGAACTTCTACCTCAGCTGCAGACAGAATTAACTATAGCATTTGTTTCTAGCCCCCAAAAGATGTAACATTCCCCAAGGTTACCAGGAGAGGTGGCACACGTCTTTAAATCCAACACTGGATAGGTAGGAGCCGAGGCAGGTGGATTTGTGAATTAGAGGACATCCTCATCTCATAGTGAGTGGTAAGCCAGCCAGGGCTACATAGTAAGACCCCTAAGTCAGAATAAACAAGCAAGCAAGCAAACAGACAACAATCTAACAAAAGCTCCAAACAAATCACAGAACATTTCTCAGAGCTTTTAAGGCTCGTAGATAACATTCCACTTCTAACAAGTGTTCAAACCTGTCTTATTAAAATCCTGTGGGACAATATTCAAGTTGTTTTATCCTGCTTAAAGTTTGTTATTCACAAATTGATATATTAAAAAAAAGTACCCTGTTTACACTTTTTGATGTCTGTGAATACCATCCTTGAAGTGGGAATCAGGTTGGAGACGAGATGGTCTCCAAAGGCCACTGCAGTCTAGGAGGCAACTGATCATTAATTATTAGCTAGACATTTTCATTTGTGGCTCTAGTTCCTCTCCCAGATTCAAATTTTTGAGTCCCTTATAAATTGAGTGTAAGTCTCAGCTACAATATGACTTCTGCCTTTATGAAGTTTTGGACTTTTCTGGAGGAAATGTGGTGATATTTTGTGCTCTGACAAATAAAGAGCACAATTTTTTTTTTGCCTGAAGATCAGAGGGTGGAGCTAGACAACCATAGAAGTCTGGAGGTCTATACAGACAGACAGGAAGTAATATGGCTGGGCGAAGAGAGACATATAAGGCTAGCAAAGACAGGAGCTCGGCCCTTTTTTGGCTGAGGAGTTCACAAGGTAGGAGTTGGTTGTGGCTTGCTCCTTTGTCTCTCTGATCTTTCAGCATTTACCCCTATATCTGGCTCCTGGCTTTTATTATTAAGACCAATTAGAACTTGGGCAACAGAAAAACATGTAAATAATGTTTATATGGAGGCAGCGTATGAGAAATGAAAACCAGACACTCTTAGGGAAATAATGCCCACACAGAGAAAGCACTGGTGAAACTCTAGTCGTATAAAGGCAAAAAGGCAGTAAAAGTAACTGTGAGGTTGGTAGGACAAGATGGCACTGACACCATGGGGGGGGGGAGAAAGCATGAAAGGAGACAGATGAGACCAGCTTCTGTGTCATTCAAGGAAGAACAGGTGAATCAATATTCTCTTGCAAGAGTAAAGAATAATCAATATCAGAAGCTGTAGGGTGCTGGGGGAACTCCTTCAGCCAATGGCCTTTGAGATGCTGGACCAGGTTGGGTGTGACCTTGGGTACTAAAAATGCATGCACTGGCTTGCTCACTCTCTCTTGGCTGCTGGATTTGGTTCCTGTTTCCCGCTCATGCAGAGGACTGTAGATCTGTGAGCCTACCCCTAAATAAAGAACCCTTTTTTATACCTTATTCTGAGCCAATGTGGGATCACTTTATCATGTCCATCTGCATCTGGTGCCCAACATGGGGCATGAATACATGCCTACTAGGACCTGCCCAGAAGGTCTGGTCATGCTCCCTTCCTCCACCACTGCACTCATTCCAGGACAGCCAAAGATACACAGAGAAACACTGTCTCAAAAAACCAAAAATTAAAAATAAAAAATATAGTTTAAAATAAAGCCATGTAAAAAGGGAAAATACACAGAGAATCTGGATACTGTATGTTATTGTATTGTCTTTTAATTGTTTGATAGCTGAGAAAGGAGCAAAGGCTGTTAAAAGACATTTGATTAAAATGCTGCTGGATTAATATAACCTATATATTTTGAAAATGCTTTGCCTTTAAGTCAAAAGATACTTTACTTTGGAGAAGAGGTTTTGCTTTTGTTTCCACAGGAAATGAGAGGCTGTGGATTCGTTCTGGGTTAAAAAAAATCAGGTCTGATCAAGGAAGATCCCCTAAAAAAATCTCTGATAGGAGCAGATGGCCCAGATGATTCAACATTTCAGAGGATCTCTGTTGGAGTTTCCTCTGAGTTCGACATCCAGAACAGCTCCAAGAGTGTTGGCTCAGATGATCAAGCCTCACAGAATATTCTAGTCAGGACTTGGCCATAATCCCAAATTTTCTTTAGGTACCCATAAGATTATCAGCACCCCCAATCAGCAGGACATAGCTGCAAAATCTACACCCACATTCCCCCAAAATGGATTATAGATATTTGTCTTTGTTTAGACTATTGGTTACAAGTTGTTATGGATAATGGTCAGGAAAAAAAGCTTAGATTAGATTAGAGAGTTCTTGTTTTGAAAAGGAAAAAAAAAAAAGGGAAATTACTGTGGGACAATGGTCTTATACCCTGTAAAGATTTGTTACTTATATTGGTTCAACAAAACGGTGATTGGCCAGTAGCCAGGCAGGAAGCATAGGCACGGTGACCAGAATAGGAGAATATAGGCCTCTGTGTGTTTCTTTGAGACTAAATGGCGGTGGGTCTGGATGGGACAGAGACCTCTGTCAACAGTAGGATATCTTGAGTCCATGACTGATAAGTCTAAACCAACGCTGTTATTTTTCTCTGGAGCAATGCCACCGGCGACACCCGAGTTAGCTTGATGAAGATGAAGGAAGGAGCAAATGAGGGAATGGAAGCCATGCCCAGATGAACGGAGGAAACGACATTTAGGATTAACGCTCAGCTCATTAAGTCCTGAACTGAGTAACCTCTACCTACTCTGGTGACTTTTATCAGGTTAACAGATATGAATGTGTCTTTCTTCAGGTTGTGCAAGACCAAAGGTGATCATGATTACGAGCATGCTACTGGAAGGTAGAACAAGGTTTAAAAGATTTTTTTTTTGAAGTATGGCACTATTTCTCTCACAGACAATCGAGTGAAGGATCTCTGTCTTCCGTTATCACATGTCCAGGAACGTATATCTACTTTTCCATCATCCACTGAATCCTAAACACACCCAGCAGGAGCAGGCTTGCTGTGGGGTAAGAATGTGCACCAAAACAGGGCCCATGAATTTAAAAATCAGAAGAAGAGCAAAACAATTGAACAGAGATGTTAAGTGGTTCCACAAGATAAATGTTACTAGGTCTTTATAGCTCTTAAATCACTTGAAAATCAAGTATAAAAAGATGCCAAGCTACTCAAATAGGATGTCTTCATCAAAGCCCTCCCTGCAGGGCTCAGGGATCTCTATCTAGAAGAGGAGGAAAGATAGAAAGAGCTCGAGGAGATGGATGATTCCAAAGAAACAGTGTCTTCCCGATGCAACAGGACAGATTCACATACGACCTCACAGAGACTGTGGTAGCACCAACAGGACTTTCAGAGGTTCAAGCCAGACGGGGTGCCAGAGCTGTGAGGGCAACCCCAGCCAAGAAGCTATCTGAAATTAGTACCCAGTTGCATAGGAAAAATCCGCTTCCTCCAGCGGAGTCTCACTGGGTATGCCTAGGAGGCCAATGCAAAACAAACTCAGAGGTATTTTTGCAGATGACACCTTTGCAAGGAGAAAAACCATTAGCCTGAGGACTGTATAAAAATACACCTCAGGGTAGGCAAGATGGTTCTGTGGGTAAAGGCACTTGCCACCAACCTTGACAACCCACGCTTGATGCCCAGGGCTCGAATGGTGGAGGGAGGCTACTGGAAGTTGTCATCTGACCTCCACACAAGCGCTGAGCGCAGTGCTCATCACTCAGTAGGTGATGGGAAATGAGACTGAGCGAGACACTGGCTCTATAGGTTGGAGGATCGGTTTTGACCTACCAGGCCAAGAGTGGTCTACCAGGAAACGCAGGCCTGGCTCTATGGCCAGGTAAAGCAGCACCACCGGTGGCCCACTAGTCAAGCGCTCAGGCAACAGTCCCAGGAACTAACCCTCCAGGCGCTAGGGCTACTTCCAGGACGCCACACCCACAGGTTTTTCGGCTGCGGGAGTGTCGTGTGGTTTGGCTCGCATCCTGCCCCTCTGGGCCAATCCCGTGTGCGCTGGAACTAACCCGCTCACCCTGGCAGGTGCGCCAGGCCGAGGCGTGCAGGGACCCGGCGGAGGGCGTGGTCGAGGCGGGGAGGGGCGGGGCGAAGCGGCGGTGGGCGGGGACAGAGCCCGTGAAGCTCCAGGCGCTAGGCCCCTGCCGCCAGTCGCCGCGGTGGCTGCCGGGATGCGCCGCAGCGAATGGTCGCGCGGGGCGCCGCTCTGAGTGACCTTTCACCCGCGCCCAGCGGCCTCGGGCGGCGGCACAAGGCGGAAGCCATGGCGGAGGCGGCGGGCGAGGCGGGCGCGAGCGAGCGGGACCCAGACGCGGGCCGCGCGCGCCGGCGGCTGCGGGTTCTGTCGGGCCATCTGCTGGGCCGGCCCCAGGAGGCTCCGAGTACCAATGAATGTAAAGCGCGGAGAGCCGCGTCGGCGGCCGGGGCGTCGCCCGCCGCCACTCCCGCCGCGCCGGAGTCGGGCACCATCCCCAAGAAGCGGTGAGTAGCGGGCCGGGGAAGGAGCTGGCGGCGGGAGGCCGCACGCGGCCTGGGCTGAGGGAGAGGAGGGCACCGGAGTGGGCAAGGAGTTGACACGGTGGGCGGAAGGCATCCCAGTCCCTGCGCGTACATCATCTCGCGGACGGAGAGTGGACCAGACGCGGGGCTCTGGAGGGGGCGGCATGGGTTGGATGATTTTGGTCCCTTTGACCGTAACGCGCTTCATGACCTCGTATAGAGAAGAATTTAGAGGAATCCCTGTTTTTGGTTTTTGGTGGTAGAAACTCATTCTCTGTCATTGAAGATCTTTGAACGGGTACCGGGGGCTTTCTTAATCTATGATGAGGAGGTTTAGATTTGCATTAGATAGATTTTTGCTAATTTTCGAAAGCCTGGGAGCGGGATGAAGTAGGGTCAGGATCATTGATACTCCGGGAAAGGTCACTGAGTGGTTTCTGTGGGGGAGGCTACCACTTCCTTATGGGAATGGGTTGTGACTTCAGGGAGGAAACTGGCGAGTAAGGTGCAGCAGACTGCAAGCATTAGTTACTTAAGAGCTGGAAAGGCTACCTACTTGTCTCTGTCAGAAGCTAAAAGACAAGCGTCTGGCTGAGGAATGTCGATGAAATCCCAAGACCTTTGGAAGAAATCTCTCTTCTCGGATGGAAGATGTTGCAAGATGGTGTTTTCTGAGATCATCTGTTTGGAGGAACTTGGAGAATGAAAGACGATTTTGCTAACTTTAATGGGTACTTTCAAAGTACTGGGGATGGCGCTAAATCTGTTACTTCTTCCTAAGCTATTAGGTTGGTGCTGTAGTCTCTCATTTTACAGATGAAGAAATTAAAAAAAGAGAGAAGTCCGCTGCAGGTACAGGTGCCTGTGTTACAGGTTGGACATCAAAAACCAATCGACAGCTTCTTTAATTCACCCCTTGTAAGTCCTTACTGCATACACACTGTACTAGAAATGCGGAGATTCTGAAATACACTGTTCGCTGTAAGCCCCTAAAGTAATATATATATAAGAAATTTAGCTAGTAATTGAAACATGGTCATTAAACCCAGTTTTGAGTGTGTAATTCTTAGGATAAAGACTTTCTTGAGTTACGGTTCTTTTGTGTAAATCTTGAAGTTTGTATTGAAAATAGCCCACCGGGGAGGGACAGGTTCATAGTAGATAAACAGAATGGTCCAGGTCAGGAAAGGGCGAGGCTGTGGAACTGCTGGGGCTCATGTGGCATAAGGGTGAGAAGGACAAGGGGCGAAGGTTTGAGGGGGGAAACTGGTTTTAGGGTATGTGGAGCAAAGCATGAGGTTTACTTTTTAGTAAGGACACCCTGGAGTGGAAGTGAAGGTTTGTCTGGCAGTATAATAATGACTGGAAGCAGACCTGGGTTGGAATCCCATTAGGGCGTTTTCTACCTGTAAACTGTCAGTCTCTCTCAGCGCTTCTGTCTCCTTACCTGGAGGTGTTGGTACACACTTGTAGTTCCAGCATTTGGGAGGCAGAGGCTCGTGCCTCTGAGTTCGAGGCCAGCCTGGTCTACATAGTAAAAGAGACCCTGACTCAGACTCAGAAAATAAAACCAAAGGGGCTGGAGAGATGGCTGAGCAGTTAGGAGCACTGTCTGTTCTTCCAGATGGTCCAGGTTCAATTCCACATGGCAGCTCACAACTGTCTATAACTCCAGGAATCTAACATCCTCACACAGCCATATATGTGCAGGCAAAACATCAATGCACATAAAATAAGAATAAATAAATCGTAAATAAATAAATATTTAAAAAAAGAATAAATAAATCGTTACAAAATGTTTTTAAAAAATTAAAAAGCCAGGAAGAACCAATCCCTGCCTTGTGTTTTGCTTTGGAAACAGAAAAATACATCTAAACTATGAAATGTTTAGTGTACAGCCTATGCTAGTGTTGCACAAGCTCTCAACAAATAGCTGTAGCTGTCCTTGTGTCTGAAGACAGTGGTTATGAATCTCGTACCTTAATAATGCTGGAACTCTGAACTAAGGAAAACCATTTGAAAATGATGAGGAGGTACATTTTCCAGAGTTTGGTTATTTGTTAGTAGGAGGGTAAAATTGAGGGTCATATGTCACCTCTGGTTTCACTGAAGTTACAGGGTTTAAAATTCTTATTTTTTCCCCCAATGGCTTCATATGCATAGATATTTTCTCATTTGTATGCATTTGTGTGCAGTGACTTATTAATACTTCCTGCTTTCATTCCTCTTGCAGAATAGTCATGCATATGTTACTTTAGTGATATCTGCAAATAAATTACTTTATAACAATGGCTGTGCTAGGTTAGCGATAAAGCCCTGGTCTTTAAGAACTCGCAATCTAGGAAGAGATTACAAGTTCCAGTATTGTAATTAGCGCTAGTGTAGACGAGTTATAGATGTAGCACAAAGGAGAGAAAGCTCTGGGCTTAGATTCTTCCTGAAGAAGGTTTGAAAAATATTGTTGATACTTTGGTGGCTTGATTGGATGATGAGGAAAGTTTGTTATGGCAAAGCAAGGGCCGCGGAAGTACACGCTGTGTTTAGGTGACAGTTCATGTTGGTACAGATGGAGTAAAATGAAAAAAGAAAGGCGATGGCAGGCCCTGAAGGCTTTGGCTTATATATAATCGGCCATTCATTCATGGCAGAGCATACAGCAGTACACAGAGCTGTGTCCTTATGAAACTTAGGTTCCAGTTGGAGTAGAGATAGTGGACAAGTAATAATAGCATGTGAGGTGGTAATAGACACAATAAAGAAACAGCCGAGGGCTGATAAATGGAGGAGCCTGCAAGATAAGCTGGGCAATGACTGATTAGATTGGATTTGGTCATTAGTTGCTGGCACTAAGAATGAGTTGCAGTGAGGACATGGCATCTTGCATGCAAGGCAAGGGCTCCATTCTTGAGCTACAGTCCCAACCTACACGTGTCATTCTTTAAAATGTAATATGCAAGAGTAGGGGAGGTAGCTCAGTTGGTAAAATGTTTATCCCCCAAACATGAGGACATGTGTTTGAGCCATAGCGTCCATGTAAAAAAAGTCAGATGTTGTGATGTGTGTATAATTTCATTGCGAGTGAGGTGGAAACAGGTGCCTCCCAGCAGCTTGTTGGCCAGACCTGAGCTCCTTTGCTGTCTTAGGAGGAAAAACGGTGAGCAGTTCTGAAGACCAACCTTGGAGGTATTATTTAACATGTATCACAACTTTGGTGCATGTTCTTCAGGGCCTGAGTTAACTTCTTGCAGATGATGTTTAGGAAGGCAGCCCACAGCGTCATTTCTGTAGTGTAGGCTATTTGGACATGTTGGGCGCCATTTGTAGATCGAGACTGCACTTTAAATCCTAGCTACCCAGACCCAAATAATCACACAGAAACTATATTAACTACAACACTGTTTGGCCAATAGCTCAGGTGTATTTCTAGCTACCTCTTACATCTTAAATTAAGCCATTTTTACATTTTTATTAATCTAGGCTGTGGCCTACCAGTAAGTTTCTGGCATCCTTCTCCTTTGGCAGCTACATGGCATCTCTCTGACTTTATATCTCTCTGTCTCTATATCTCTGTCCAGATTTCCTGCCTGGCTTTACTCTGCTAAGCCATTGGCCGAAACAGCTTTATTATCTAAGAAAAGCAGCTCATATACAGAAGGACATTCCACATCAGACAACATTATTTGGAATAAGTGAAACTTAATTTGGTAGTTATACCACATGAAATAGCATGGTCTGAGTTCTGAGCTGGGAATCCTAGTGATGGTGTTAATAGGAATTTTAATTTGAGTAAGTTAACTTCAAGGCACCATTCTAAAGCACATGCACATTGCCTCATTTAAAAGCTTTGGGAAACAGGAGGTATTTTATGTTGGTTACAGGAAGTAGAAGCTCAGTTAATTTTGTTTGACTAATTAATTATAAGCATTTGTGAAATGAATGAAATGGTTTTTCAACTCTGGCCTTCTCTCAACCCATGTTCCTTTCCCTGTACTGTTTCCTTGTGGCTACACCGTGGTACTTATTCCCTGGGGTAAAGTTGTCAGGTTGTTCTCCTTAGTGTGCTAAGCTTCAAACTGTTTGTGATGATAATAATTGAATACTGGCTTCTGTCCTTTAGGTGTTAGTTTATGTTGTACTTAGTGATAAATTAGAAGTATCCCATCTAAGTGAAATTCAAAATTTAGGAAAATGTAAACCGTGGTTTAAAAGGGTAGCCTGGTTGCCTGCAAGTTGGCGAGTGAACTTTGTTGTTCCCCTTGTGGGAGAAGACAGTGTTAGTGTAAGAGAACAAGGAGAGATGTGGGAGAACCAGGGTTCGAGGGAAAGAGAAGGGGTTGTGAGGGACTTGCTGCCTGGTTAAACTGCTGTGGGCAAGAAACCTTGATGTCTTAATCTCTCTGGTTTGCACATTGACATAAAGCAGACTTTCTCCAACCGTTCCTCTTGTCCACAGGTTACCATAGAGCCATCTACGCCAGGTTCACTTAGTAAGAGTATCTGGGAGGAAATTCAGTGATCTACTTTTAGGCTACAGAGAAATGGAATGCTGTTACAGGAACACGAGATACTTTATATGTCTTTAAAAGCAGATATTATTCCTTTATTTTCTCATTATTGAAGAGATTTCTGCTGCTTATGAGATTAGTATGTTAATTTCAACCCTCAGCTAACCCAGAGGATCTCGAGAAGAGTCAACCCTTTGGAGGACAGTGATTGCTCCCCCTCTTCTCTCTGTTTGTTGTATTCTCAGGGTAATAGTTCATCGTGTCTTTCCCAGTACCTGAGTTCAGAATCAGCTGAGTGATAACACAAGACACAAACAGAAATAAAAATGTGGTTGGAGAAGTAGCTCAGTGGTTAAGAGTACTTGCTGTTCTTGCAGAGGACCCGTGGGTCCACAGCATCCTCATGGTGATTTACAACTATCTGTAACTATCACAACTCCAGTCCAGGAGGATTTGACACTCTTTTCTGGCTTTTGA